CTGCCCTTAAGCCACGTCTTCACCCCACTCGCCTACCCACGCCTTTGAGCCACATCCCAGCCCCCCCCACACACTTTTTAAATATTTTATTTAGAAACGGTCTCACTGAGTTGCCAAGCCTCTTGCTTTTGCTGAGCCTGGCTTTGAACTTGTGATCCTCTTGCCTCTAAGGAGCATCACCATACCCGCCCCCCACCCTTTTTTTGAGATAGGATCTAGCTAAATTGCCCAGGTTGGCCTTGAATTTGCCATGCTCCTGCCTCAGTCTCCTAGTCTCCTGAATACCTGGAATTACACGTGTGTGCCAGCGCACCAAGTTTACATAACTTTGTTGTTGTCCTGTTTGCTTTATGTTTGTTTTGGGTACTGGGGATTGAACCCAGGAGCACTTTACCACTGAGCTACATCCCCAGCCCTTTTTATTTTTTATTTTGAGATAGGGTCTTCTTAAATGGATGAAATTGGTCTGGAACTTGCCATCCTCATGCCTCAGCATGAAGAAACTGAGCCCAGAGAAGTTAAAGGAGCTTCTCACAGGCCACAAATCAGAAACCCTTTGCAAATTGGGCTCCAAATAATCCCCACCCTAATAACATTGTACCTTAGGACCTGTATGTAGTCCCATCTATTTGGGAGATCAAGGCAGAGGGATCACTCCAGCTCAGGAGTTCAAGACCAGTTTGAGCAACATAGACTCTGTCTCTCTTTTTTTTTAATTTTAATATTTATTTTTTAGTTATCGGCGGACACAACATCTTTGTTTGTATGTGGTGCTGAGGATCGAACCTGGGCCGCACGCATGCAAGGCGAGCCTGCTACCGCTTGAGCCACATCCCCAGCCCTAGACTCTGTCTCTTAAAAAAAAAAAAAGACACACTTTAAGATAATTCTAAGTGATAAATTTATTAGAAGGAGATTCTTTACTGCCATCTGCTGGAAGTGAACAAATATGCAGTCTACAATGTTCAAGAAGTAAATACTGTCCTCATAGATGTGGGATCCTTGTGCAGTGTACAACCCTCACATCCATAGATAGTGGCCCTGTCTACATCATAAGATTGTTGTGAAGAATAGATAAGCTAATACACTTAAAGCACATAGACCAGCAGCTGGCAGAGTAAGCACTATCTAAATGTAGTTGTAATCACCACTATCATTATTTGTTATTATATCAGTCACTGTTCTACGTACTGCAGACAGCAGTGAAAAAAATATATCTGTTAAGGTGGGGTCAGGGATGGGTCAGGAGCTTAACAGCTAGGACACCAGTTCTCCTTCCCCAGGCATGTGTGCCCCATCACAAAGCCCAGTGGATTCTCCCTAACTATCCAGTTTCAGGAAGGAGTGACTGAAGTACTCACCAAAAGATCATCTGGGGGTAAAAAGTGATTGGGGCTGGAAGACTGGAGTGGATGAGGAGAACTGCCCCTGAGCCTTCCCCTGCTAGCTTCACTGAAGCCACTGATATTCAAGGAATGTGCTCCAAGAGGCTGGGGAAGGTGGTGACCACAGAGGAGAAGGCCCTGGACTGCCAAACTCAGAGAGCAAAGTGTGAGGATTATGCTTAGAGCCTGGGGAGTTTGAACACCCCCTCCCATCCCATTTGGCCCAAAAGGTAGTAGAATTTGCATTTTATTTATTTTTTTAGTGCTGAGGATTGAACCCATGGGTGCTTTACCACGGAACCACATCCCCAGCTCTTTTTTGGAGACTGGGTCTCTTTAARTTGATTAGGGCCTAAATTGCTGAGGTTGGCCCTGAACCTGAACTCCTCCTGCCTCAGCCTCCCCAGTCACTGGGATCACAGGTATGYACCTCTGTGCCAGGTTATATTGTTTTTGAGATAGGATCTTGCTAAATTGTTTAGGGATTTCCCTAAACTGCTGGGGCTGGCTTTGAACTGGTGATTGATTCTCCTGTTTCAGCCTCCTGAGTCCTTTTTTTTTT